ACAGACAAGGGCTGATTGCCCATTAGGCCCGAGTCCCTTTACCTTCAGGGCCTCGATGCCAAGCAGCTACCCATGACAGCACTGGGGCAAGAATTAACCCTTAGGGTAGTTGTTAAATAACCACTTACATACCCAGGGGAGCAATACTGAATTAGATGGTAAATATTACAGAAGTCAGTGGGGAGTAGACTGAGGCTGGGAAACCTCAGCTGCTGGAGGACAATTTCAAAGTGCAGGTGCCCACAAAGCGGGCATCGACCATTCCAGTTCTTCCACACTCTTGTTCCAGACCCTTTTCCACATCAGTCCATTTAAAAGATTTCTCTAAGATATCCCTACAAAAGTCCTGAAGACACAGATATGTCCTTAGGCAGTATATACCAAGGCACACTCAGGCCACCAATGGTTTGAAACTCAGCAGGGGCGAATTTAACAACACGGGTCCTCTGACTCCACCAGCGCAATGGCATCTGAACTGCTAGGGGGCCTTGCCTTGACCTGTGCCTGCAAGAATCTCCCCAAGGGCTTCTAGGGCCAACGAGGATTCCCAGCCCCAGAGTCTGACCTCTCCAAAAGAGGTATAAGCCTATTTCGCAGGTCAGCAGGGTGGGATAATTTTGAGAAGCCCCATCAACAGACTATTTGGAAAGATGAAACAAATATTAGTGTCCCATTCCCTGACAAATGAGACTGAAAAGAAACATTCTGAAAACTATAAAAACTGGGCTTCTTTAGGTCCTATATAATAATCACCTCTGTAAGTAACCTTCTCTGGGGCCAGTGCCATGGTAGTTTTAGGGGACATGATATGATAATGTTAACTATACCAGTTAGACATTCACTGGTCCCTCACTAAAGAACAGGCACAATCTAGGCACTTTCCACATATTTACTCCTTTCATCCACAGAAACCCCATTTTATTATAGGTAGGTACTTTTACTACCATCCACTTTTTACAGAGGAAGAAACAGAAACACACTGTAAATAGCTCACTAAAGGTCACAAGAGTGATTGGTGCTAGAGGTGCGATTCAAACCCATGCAGCCTGGCTTCAGAGCCTGACCTTAAAGGCTCAGCTCAACCACCTCTCAAAAAATGGCTTTTTGTCATCATCATTGTATTATGAGTTCCTCTTCTACAGGATGAAGCAAGGGAGCGACACAAACCAAAGATATCTCCAGAGGCAGGGCGAGTACAAGAGGGAACACCTGTGCTTAGTGTACAGCCTAGTGAGGGCACAATAGAGCAAACTCTGGAGTGTGACAGGCCAGCCAGCTAGAATGTGTGTGCTTCATCTCCCCTCCTGACTGTTCCCTGTGCTCCCCCACAATCCATCCCAGATGCAAAAGCAGCTCCATCCAGCATTCATGCAGCCTCTGGTTCTAACATGAATCCCACTACTTCTAGGTCACACATTTATGCTTATAAATCCTGCTTTCGGGATTATAAAGGTCTACTATAAACTTTCAGGGCATCTCTATGTAAAAAATATTGATACACAAATTATCTGGAGCCCTTCCCCTGCCTGCAATTGCTATTCTAGCCCAGTGTTTCTCAAAGCATGGTCTGCTCAAAATCTCGAGAATAGCTTGTTAAAAATGAAGATTCCTAACTATTGTCCTGAACTATTGAGTAAAATACTCTGAAGTTGGTGCAAGAAGACCTATATTTTTAACACCCTCCTCAAGGGCTTCATATGCCCATTAAAGTCCGAGTAGCATTATTATCTGTTTCTTGAAAAACAAGCTAGAGCAACAGTGTTTAATGGAATTCTGCTTTAAGCACAAGTGAAATCTTCCCATCTCCCTGTAATGAGCTTTCTCTAAAGCAAGTCCCTTTGTCACAACTGATAATGCCTCTCGTTATCTAGAGAATAATTACCTCAGCCTGGCTTTTAAACATTGCAGAACTCAAGTTTTCTAAGCTTTCTCCTACTTCACTGTTTCCAAAGTGTGGTTCCCATATCACTAATGATTTTAAGAGGCACCTGAGATAGATTTCTTTTCTTTCTATGTTAGAGGTGGAGAGTTTATTTAAATGTGAATGAAGAAAAATTGTAACTCCAATATCCAAACCTGTAATTTCATGAATACTTAAGTGGGGCTTAAATGGCAAATAAGAGAATCAATATTTACAGATTATTAAGAAAATAGTAACACAGGTGGTACTCAGATAAAAGTCTTAAATTTGGGGAACTTTATCTTGGTTGATCCTTTCCAACAGGTACTGTTTCACACCCAGTTTGTGCCTCCTTCCAGGAACCCTCCAGACTCTTCGGGATCTCCCAACACACTCCCTTTTTGAGCTCCTTTAACATACTTCTGGTACCACTCATTAAGAACCTAATTGCTACTTAAATGTCTATTAGTCTAAATTAGTGTCATTTCTCTAGTGAAATGGAAGCTCCCTGAGAGTATTCCATGGTCTCTTTTACCTCTGCATTACCTAGAGTGCTAAATTTCCCTGGTTGGATCTGAGCACAAAACAGGAATTGGTGAATACATGTGAATTCATCATGGAGTTGAATGAAATGTTCCACAGCAGTGAGAGAAGTAGGTGTTTCATGCCCTCCACATCTGCTTACTTCAGGCCAGATCTCTTAGCCACACTGAGAAAGGGATGTATATCCTTATCAGTGCCAGGTACAAATCACAGAGGCTGGAGCCAGGGAATCTCTCCCAAAGGTATGATTCTGTGGGTGTCCCCTGGATGACAGAAATGGGAAAGGTGACCTTAGTCAGCACAGGAGCAACGTGTCTGTTTCCAAGGAACAGTCACCTCTGCTGATGCATCCCCACCCTCAGTCTGGAGGAACCAGAGTGGCTACAGATCCCTCCAGTGAAAACAAAGCTAGATGAGCAAACAGAACTAGCTCTACTACCTGATTCATCCTGTGACTTTGTGATTTCCATATCTTAAGGTTTTTAATCTGTACAATACACTTACTATAAGGCAAAAGAGATAACGATTTTGAAAGCACTTTACACTATCATGTACAGTAAGAATGTTAGGGACATAGCACATGAATCTGTAGGGAGAACAGACTGGGAGGCCAGGGTGCTCAGCTCTCCACCAGGCAACAGGAGGTATGGGCTCTACTTGTAACACTCCCTGTGTTTGTCATGTGACCTTGGGTCCCCACTTATGGACTCATGTCCTTGTCTGTAAAATTTATCTGCACTACATGATCTGGTCTAGGGTCAAGTCCAATGTGAATTTGAGAACCTTAGAGAATGATAACCAAGCAAGACTGCACACTCCACTGGACGTGCTCCAAAGTGGGGACGGTGCCCTGGTGCACCCAGGGTTTGGGTGGGTCCCAGCAAAACATCACCAAAGACACTCGGACACCTCTACCTCCAACCAAGACCTGTTCTGTGGGTAAAGCAGACCTGCTATTCATCGCGCCTGCACCCTGCCTCACCCTCTCACACAGCCAAAGGCCCCCTCTCCTCACTACCATAGTCGGGGCTTTTTCTTCCTTTTAATGTTCTAAACCAGCAACTTCAAAAGCACAGGTTTCAGTGTTAAGGTTTGGCTCTGAATTCAGTTACCCTTCAGCTCCGCCTCAGACTCACGCTGCTTTTATGAGTAAAAGGACGAAAGGCCATGTGTGGAAAGGAAATAAGTGGGAACACTGGTGGTGGGAGGGAGGCAGAGGTAAGGGGTATTGGCAAAGTGGGATGGGGTGGAATGCTAGTGTGTTCGTTGGGATTTCAAAAAGATTTGCCTGCTTCCCAAAGTGTAAGCCACAAATCTCCTAGGGTTGCACTTGGTGTGGTTTGTGGGAGCTTCCCTGAAAGCCTTGTAACCATGGTTTCAGGCAGCCTACATCACATAAAAAGAACAGGCTTTTCCTTATTTTCCCCTAAAACTCCATCTCCTAGGAAAACATATAAAGTGATATGCCAAGGTGATTCATAAGCAACCTATGACCCTAGGATAACCATGAAGCTGTTTTTAGTAATGAAAAGGTGATTCCTCTGTATCTTTCCATGAGGACCAGATCTCCCTCTTTTGTGTAGACCAAATAACTCAAAAACATGTACATCCAAAACCACACCTGCACTCGTGGGAACATGTAGGAAATTTGAAGAGAAACCCATTTCCTAATTTAACACCTTCCCTCTAAAAATTGCTAAAGCAAGGCTGTTTCTCCCTGTTTGTCTGGGTGCTAAGGTTGAGTGCATTTGGTTAGAATACATGGACAAGGCCTATTTCCAAGACCATAATATTTTGACAATGTAACCAATTAACTCAATCTCAGAAACAGTATCTCATTGCACAGTATCTTGAAAATCAAAACAGAGAAACAATATAACTCTGAGGATTCAGAGCACTGACTTCCAATTACAAGCAAAACTCTTTAAAATACAGTGCTCATTCTAGACGTATGGGCAATGCACTGGAAAACAGGCTAGGCTTATGTTTCTGGGACCCTGGAGGGGACATTCTAGAGGAGAACACATTTTTCTCCCTGTATGTCAGAAGATGAGCTAACCACCATGCAACAGAATAGAAACAAGCTAGCTTCCTGCAGGAGGGAAAAATAAAGCAGCTCCTCACTCAGCTACGCAAGACAAAGCCAGGACGTGCCAGAAGCCCTCATTCTAGGGCTCCACGTGCCTCTCCAAGGACGGAGGAACCCACCCACACACAGTCACACGCAGCAAGCCCACCACTCGCCTGCAGAAGGCGCCGGGTTCTCCGCCAGCCTTTAGCACCCGCGCGGCTCTTCCAGCTCTGCCAGCTTTAGCATCGCTGTCTGGAGTGGGCAAAGGGCCTTACCCTCTTTCCCAGTCTCATCTTCCATGCCCCAATGCTGACTTCTCCCTAGCTACGAAATGGAGTGTGCTTCCCCAAGGTAACTAAGACTTATACACACGCACACACAACCCAGATGGCAGTAAGTCCTCGCGCCCACTCCTGGTGCCAAGGCCGCGGGTCTTGCCCCAGGGACCCCACAGCCAGGCTCCTGGACGGGGAGGTGCCGACTCACCCAGTCCTCGAAGTGGCGGCTCCCATTCTGCAGCAGCTCCTCAAACTGAATGGTGCAGTTGGCCACGAAGTCGTCGTAGCCAATGGGGGCATCATGAAATACGGCCAGCTCGATCTTGCGCCCATTGCACACATCGGTGACGAACTCGTCGTGCCAGGCCGGGCTGTTGGTCTTCTGCTTGGTGGCCGTTTGACCGATGCGCGAGTCATCCACATTGAGGGCGATGTAGGGGTCGAGAAGGAAAGTCTGCGGCCGGGGTCCCACCGCATGGCGCAGCGACCAGGCTGTGGGCTTCAAGCTCACGGCCTCGCAGATTTTGATCTTAAGAAGGCCATTGAACACTACCATGGTCGGGGCGGGGAGTGGGGGCCGGGGTCACTCCGTCCGCCCCGAGGGCAGGAATGAAGAGCACGGCCCGGCACTCGGGGCTACGGGGACTCTTGGGTCCCCTCTCGCCCCACCCCACACTCCCTACACCTTGAAGCGTTGCGTCCTGGAGCAGACGATTCTCAGCGAGTGCATGTATTTCCTCGCCGGGTTCCTAACGGAAAACAGGGAGGGGGGGAGAGCCGGGGGACGTCCGTGTTTGGAGCAAGTCTCTCCCCCCCTACCACCAGCAACACCTCCAGAAGAGGAGACGAGCTGTCGGCTCCGCTGCAAGCCGCGGGGGCTGTCTCCCCGCCTTGCTGGCTCTCCCGGTCCGGGCTGCGGGGAAGCGGGCGCCGCACCGGGCGCTTACCTACCTTTCCGAAACATAATCCCCGGGAAATTTCTACTCTGGGAGGGGGAGGAGGAGGGGGGCTGGGGGACGGGGCGGGGATGAGAACTGGGGGCGCAGATTTCAACCCGGATCCTCTTCGCACACTCGGCGCCTGCCTCTGACCGCGCTGGGCGGGGAATGGACCGTGGGATGTTCAGTCTATCCGGAGGGATGCATGTCGAGAGGAAATGGTCCTCTTCGGAGCCAAATTTTTAAAAATCCACAAGCCACACAGCTAGCCTGGCCGCCTCCTCTTGGACGAAGCAGCGCCGCGTCGCAGTCGGTGATCGGGGGACGCCAGGAGCCCGGAATCTCACATCCGCGCGGGCTCAGGAGTCGGGGTGGCCGCCGCTGGGGCTCGGGGCGCAGGCCGGCACCGGGCGGTGTGCAGCGCGGCGGCGGGGCCGGGACGGCGACTCGGCGCGGCCCCACCTCCCGGGCGCCGCCGCGCTCCCCGCGTCCCCGCTCTCGGCAGCCGCCTGCTCGCCGCGCGCCTGCCCGCTCTCCCCCGCGGTCTCCTCTCCCTCCGTCGGTGTGCGAGAGAGTCTCCCTCCCTCTAATGCAGGAAATGCGCAAAAGACGTCAGTGTGTGTGTGTGTGTGTGTGTGTGTGTGTGTGTGTGTACGTGTGTGCACGCGCGCGCGCGCTCCAGTGTTTGGTCCCGGGCGCCGCCGCGCTCCCCGCGTCCCCGCTCTCGGCAGCCGCCTGCTCGCCGCGCGCCTGCCCGCTCTCCCCCGCGGTCTCCTCTCCCTCCGGTAAGAATAAGCATGGCTTTATTACTTCAACTCTCAGATTTTGAAGAAGGACTTCAAAACGTGTGTGTGTGTGTGTGTGTGTGTGTGTGTGTGTGTGTGTGTGCACGCGCGCGCGCGCTCCAGTGTTTGGGGAAATAGAAAGTTTTGCCTGTTGGGGGAGCAATACGGGAAAAGTGAGCCGAGGAGAGGACGACGGAGAGCGGGCGAGTCTGCCCGGGTCGCGGCGGCGGGTGGGGACCCGAGCGGGGACCCAGTGCCGGACCCCGGGAAGTGGCGGCGTTAGGGGCGGGGGTGCGAGTGCCGCTGGCTGTCGATACCTAGTCTTTGGTCTCCACGGGGAGACACGCGGGCCGTGCATATCTCCAGGGATCTGCCAGCCCAGTCTTTTGGCGCCAGGGGTGGGGTAGTGGCTGGGGTCGCACAGCCGGAGAACACTCAGGACCCTCCTCCAGCCCCACCCCCCACTCGGGCCGAGGCGGGCGAGAGCTGCCCGCGAAGTATTGGCCCATCTGTCTGTCATTCTGTCCCGAGGCGCTCTGCTCCACGGTGTGGGGGAGGGGGGGAAAGGAGGGGCGCGCGAGACTAAGGGTGAGTTCTTCAACATTTATTCTCTTCCGTTTCTTTGGCGGCATTCTCCGCTTTGGGGTCTGTGCTGGACTTCTCAGGCTGCGAGAACTTGTTGACAAGTGAAAGCTCGGTAGAACCCTGGCTCGGATTGTGTGTTTGTATATTGCAAAGTGAGTTCATATTTACTCTGGACCCTGTCTGTGCCCTTTGAGGGAACACAGCTGTGATCAGCGCGCTGACAGCTGCCGCCAAAGCTGCGGGAAAACGGGGCGCGTCCTCCGGGGGGCGAATGGCTGTGTCCGTGCTAATTTCCTCCGTAACCTTTAAACTCTCTCTGGAAGCCGCGGCAGCTGATCACGTGAGGAGAGCCCTGGACTGCTGGGGAAGAATTTCCTCCGCGGGGAGCGGGGGACGGAGGAGGCAGCCGGGCTAGGGACTGCCCCGCGCCGGGGGACGCGAACCTGGGCGGGCGGGGCCGCGAGCGCGCAGGCCGGGGGCGCGTCCCTGGCTGGAACATGCGCGGCCCTACGCGGAGGAGAGGTCAGCTCCGCCACCTGCGAGCGCGGGGCTCTGTAAATGGAAAACGAAACCCTCGGCCCTCACCCGTATGCCAAGCCAAGTCAGGGGGTGTTGTAGGAATCGTGTTGAGCTGAGTGTTTATGTGGCGGGTTTGGTTAGTGTAGACCAAAATTTAAGACCCACCTATCACTTTTTCTCAGTGAAAAGTTTATCGTTGCCTTAAATGACTCACAGGCTTAAGGTTTAAAAGTGAGAAAGGAGGCAGTCGCCCTGGAACAACAGGACACCAGGTGCAGCACACAGGTCACAGAAATGATCAGAAAAATCTCAGAGTGATTGTGACAGATCTTCCTACTAAGTCGCTGCTCTCCCAGAGCCTACCAGTAATTTCTCGTAGCCTGCCCTGCTGACTGGGGCAGCTGGGTAGAGAAAGTGCTAAAATGCAGTCTTAGGGACAGTTGAGATTGTTCACAAGTAAAAACCAGGATGTCAAAGTTATGCCTTACACGATCACTCCCACCAGCTGGAGGTATATTTTACAATCTGCCAGTTAGACAAAGCACAAGTGTAACATTTCACTGGTTTAAATTTTCTTTGATCATCAGAACTGTTTACTCCTTGCTTCTTACTTCCACCATTATGTTCTCATTAAATTTTTTTCTCCTTCAAGGGGCATGTGATGGAAGGCAATTGCAAACAGGGCTTGATCTCCGGAAAACACATTTTGGAAGCAGTGACCCCGCTACAGCGAGATGAGATACTTGACAGAAAGGCAAAATTTAAGGGATGCCAATCAACTCAGTAATCCCAGTAATAGTATCTTAATGTAATATTTTTAAAAATCAAAATTGAATATCCAGGATGAACATAATATCCAAATTTTAAATAATTTCAAACATTGCATTAAATATTTTTTATTTTGCTGAATATGTTGGCACCCTTGAAATTTTGTACTCGAGGTAGTGCTTCATTTGCCTCACTATAGCCCCAGCCTTGCTGGGAATTTTAGAAAGGTGAGGATTGCATGACGCTAGGGATTCTTGACTATTTCAGATCTCTTATCTACTTTTTCTCTGGGTAAGATTACCATGCAAACAGAAAAGTACATTAATGGAATTGGAAAACATTAGCCTAAATCCGTCCTTTTCAGTGTGTTAAACAGGAAATAGGTTCAGAATTAAGGACAGAATGAACTTGAACTTTTTGCATGATATATTCTTCCCCCCTCCCCAGGGAAGACCCACAAATACATTAAATAGGATCTATTGCCATCTCAGTGACTAAGCATTCTTAGAACCAATAACCTACAAACTCCCAACACTATTTCCTTGTGACCTGGGTAAGGTTGCAGGAAGGCAGTGACTACCTCTTAGCTGCCTGTTTGTCACACCACTGTAATAATCAGACTGCAGTTCTCAGATGCAGCCCACATCTGTGTGACCTCTCCTTTTGATTACAAGTCTTTCTGGGGAGCACAGTGGGAATAAAAGAACTGGCCAAACTGCTGTTTCATATTGGATGAAAATTTTAAAATAAAAATTTTAAATAAGGGAGAATGCATATACTCTACATACAAACATTCCTAATTGCCTGCCCTTATTACATCCTTATTTCTTAATGAATTCTCACCTTCCGACTCTCAAATTTGGTTGAATGAAAATATGTATTCTCCAGGGGCATCGTGGAGATGCCAGATGTGAGCTGGTTTAGGGGGAAGCCCTTAAATTTACTTTAGCTGGGGAGTGGCAGGGAGGGAATTATCTAAAATAACTCTTTGCTCCAGATTTCATTGTGAAAGGAAAAACAAGCCCTTGTAAGGGGGACAATTTAGAATGTAAAATGCCAATCAATAATTATTGCCACTTCATTCTTCTCTTGCCCCCTGCATTAAGTCCTGAAAGACAGGCCAGTGACTGGCATAGGCATTGAGTAAACACCCTTTGGATTCCAACTACGGCCTAGTTATTTTGTGATCTTTGGGAGAAGAAAGAGGAAAGAACAAAAAATAAAAGAATTAAGCAAAGACAGTCAAGATAGTTCCCCTCTCCCTTTAAAATTAAGTCTCAGAGAAAAATCACTGATAGAGCAAGAGTTCCCGGGGCAGTATGTTAAGTGCTACAGTAAATGTAGAGGTGCACCGACCTCTCAGATGGCAGAGAGGAAGGAGCAACCCTTTGCCTGGGGTTGCCAGGGAAGGCACCACCAGCAGATCCAGCTTTCCCACAGGAGTTGCTCCAGAGGCAAAGAGGAGAGGGAAAAACATTGGAGGCAAAGAGAACAGAATATGCAGAGCACAGGTAGGTAAGAGCATGGATATTTGGGTTGAGTAAGTGACCAGGTGTACGTGGCATGTGGCAGGCAGTAAAAGGAGGTAAGGTAGGTTGGTCTGGATGATTAAGGCCTTGTGAAGCCTGCAGATAAGTCTGAAGTTTTTCTTTGGGAGACATGAATAGTTCTCAAATGGGAAAGCAGCATAGTCAGAGTTAATACTTAAAAAAAGCAATTTTGTGGGGAGGGATATTTTTCTCTTCTGTAATTTCCCCCCCAGAAGACTCACCCCAAAACAGGATATTAGAGAGAGAGAGAAGATCCAGGCCTGAAGACTATTTATTCTCTGATCAAAAATGAAACAATCTGTAGATATTGTTTAGATCAACTAAAGGAAGCAGGGAGGGGGCGTCACCAGAACCCTAGCTTAGCATGTTAATATTCATGTCCTTGCTATGCTAGTTGCTGCCATTTGTAGAATGTTAATGGCTTCTGCAAAGGTCAGCTTGGTCAGGTCTGCCATACATTCCACACATGCTCCATGGAACAGAACCCAACCACCTGGGCTATGTGATGGAATATGCAGCAGCACAATGACACAAAACCTTCCAGAGATCTGGTGGCCCTGCCCTGACTTCCAGCCTCGCTTCCTACCCCATCCTAGTCCCACCCATGTCTGGCTTGCCATGTCTTCTTATTTTGGCCCTATCTCTGTTCTTACCTCTGTAGCAGTGACCCAGAGACCAAGCTTCACTTACACCCTGCAAGGAGATGGAGGGATCAGAGGTAAACCCATAGAACTTAAAGGTGGATGCGGACAAGAGATGGCCTGGTGGAAGTGAAATAAGCCAGGCAGAAAAAGACAAATGCCAAGTGATTTCACATATACGTGAAATCAAACAAAACAAAACAAATGAACAAAATGGAAACAGACTCACAGACACTGAGAAGTGACTAGTGATTACCATGGAGGAGGGCCTGGGTTGGGTGGGTGAAATAGGTGAAGGGGATAAAAAAGGCACAAAATCTCAATCATATAAAGATTAGTCATGGGGATGAAAGTACAAGATCGAAAATATAGTCAATAGTTCTGTAACATCTATGTTGACAAATAATAACTCTATTACTTGGGGTGAGCACAATGTGGATAACTGGTGAATCATTATGTTGCATACTTGAAACCAATATAATATTACAAACCAAATATTATATCCACTATACTTGAATTAGAAGAAAAAAGAGAGAGAGAGATGACCTGGTGCCCCTCCTTCCTCAATTCCCTTGACCCTAAGCCCCACTCTATCAGGCATCATATGGAAAATCACATCACATATGTTCTTTGGCTCTGATGCTGGGTTGCATCTTGGGGCTTTTCAATACATAAATCAATCCATGGGTCTTTACTAAGTACCTGCTATGTTCAGGACACTGGGGCAGGTGCTCTACAGAGGACAAATAGATATATGGAATGATTCCTACTCCAGTGGAGAAAAAAGGAAGATCAGTGCAGTCATTTACCTGGCAGTATTGAATGCCATGTCATCTGGAACACTGAGGAAACGAAGATGATGACACACAATGACTCTTTATTTATCAAAATGGACCAGGTCATGCTGCTATAATAGACAGTCCCCAAATCCCATGGTCTTAAAATAACAAAGGTTACCTCTCACACTGCTCTAAGTCCATAGGGGATTAGCTGGGAGCTCTGTGTCAACAGCATCCTCACCCTTGCATCCAGGTGGACAGAAACATAGCTGGGCACAGGCAGAGAGCAAAAGAACCTCTAGAGGTTCTTACTCAAGCAATGAAATAGTCCACTGGAAGTGCTAAATGTCACTTCAGTTCACTAGTTAGAACCACAAGGGGCTGGGAAGTTCTCCTATTCATAGGGTTAAGGAGCCTAGAATACTTGGTGAATGGTAGTGAAGAATGCCATACACCCTTTCCCCAAATATCTGGTATAGAAACATAACTCAAGGCAGTCATAGTAAGTGACAGATAAATGGCACAGTCTGAAAGTGCTTTGGAAATTAGAGGTAGCAAGGATCCCAGGCAGAGAGGGACTGTTTGATCCCCGATGACCCTGTGCCACTGCACACAAAAAGAAAACTTAGGATGATGTGGAGAAGCCTGCCTAGTATCATAACCAGCAGCCACCTAAGTCCCTGTTTCCCTTTCCCCAGCACAACTACTCTGACAAGAGCTGCAGGTCCTTCTAGCAACTTCAGAACAAAGTCAGCCCTAAGGGTGCATTTGGACACAACAGAACTAAGACTAGTTGTTATACTCTGCAGGATTTGGGAGATTGCCTGGTCTGTATTCTTTAATATGATTAAATTCCTTTATTAAATGAGGAACGTGAGACCTATAGAAGTTAATTGACTTGCCACGAAAGGAAAAAGAATAAATGAAAGCACAAATTAGAGGTCTAAAACCGATTCTTACATTTCTTCGTTTAAGTCTACTGTCTTTCTACACTCTCCTGCTGGAACCAATGCAGTGCCATTTAATGATAATAACTCCAAGTATAATTTAAGTCCTTGGAAACAAAATTTCTATAAATCCAAGATCCAGGTTTATTTTGATTTATTGGTTCCAAAGTTAGCTGGCCTTGGCACAGTACAATATTATTGACTTAGAATAATTCTCAGGGACTCTGACCAGAGTTCCTCCATAAGTTGTTTTGGTGACACATGTCTTTAAAACAAAAGAACTTTATTGTTGTTCAACTTCTCTCTATTTGCATCTTCTCTCCTTACACCAATTAGATGTATTTTCAGCATATGGTTTTATGATACCTGTACCAAGGATAACAGCTGTTTCTACAGGTTCCCTGTGGATATTTTATTAGCCCAACGACTGATCTGACTGTGCAGAGTAGGTTATATATCTCTAAAACATTCTGGATATTTGGTTAATCTGTTTCTACTTCTAATTTACCTTTCAGGATCAAAGAGTTGGGGTTCCACAGCAAGGAATATTGCCTTTCATTAGGGATGACAATCACTTAGGTATAACAAATGTACAGCTAGAACTGGTTAAACTCTCAGGCTCAGTTGCAACCAATAATGTGAGCAGGGAGGCAAATCCTTCTCTCCCTTAAGGCCCAGATCCTCCACGGCCCCAACCTTATTTCCCTTGCTGAAGCTATGTATCTCCTCTCTTAACTCTCCTCCAGCTTTGTTCGCATTTCCCCTATTGCCCCTACCTCTGCCTGCATTGCCATCTACTTACTGGCACCTGTCTTAATTATGCCACTTCTCTGAAAGGTCTTTCAGTTTGGAGACACAGTATGACTCAACTCAATACTTACTCTCCAGTATTTTGAACATAGTAGGTACAATTTGGTGTTCGACAAATACTTGTCACGAGAATGGCACTTTGAGGTAAGAAGAGTGTCACAAACCTTGTTAGTCTCTCCCTTCTTTGCCCAGATGAGCGCCTAGGCGATGGTTGGCTCGCTGCACTCCACTGCAACCGGGGACTGTGGTGATGGAGTCACCGGGCGGCTGGGCGGCTGGGCGGCTGCACCTCCCAGCCCGGGGACCCCGCGCCCGGCTCCACGAGCTGACAGCGCCCTCTGGCGGACGTGCGCGCGCCCAGCCGAGTTACTCCCGCGGCGCCCCCTGCCTCCTTTTCCATCGCCTCCTGCGGGCCCTGGCTGGGAAAGCTGGGAGCGTTCGGATTACCTAACCAGCTTGGGGGTAAATCAAGAACCGACCACATGGCAAGGGACCATTGGCTTTATCCATATGCCCGTGAACAGGGACAAATGCAGTCAGGAGCACTTGCCATTATGGAAAAAATATGCTGTCTTAAAAACAATGTTTTAAACAACCAGGCTTCTCAAAGTGAGGAATTCTGTTTCTGTGACTGCATTAACCAAGAGGCCATCCATTTACCAGTTAAATCCACTCTGGTTGAGGAAAAACAGAGACGGAGTCCAGGTTTTGAGGAAACTAGAACTCGAAGGTAAAGGAATGTTAAGGGCCTTCAGGTGGACCACAGGGACCCACCCTACCTTTTTCTTGATTCAAGTCTGCAGGTCAGTTCCTGGGGCTGAGGTGAAAGTTGTGAGAAATGGCCAAGGAACCCCATTGGAGAAGCCACCCCCAGAATGGAAAGTATTGGGAGAAGGAGAGGTTGGGGCCACCTCAGAGGCTGCTCCTTTCATTACAGTAGATAACTTGGTTTCCTTTTCTGAAAAAACATGGAAGCCATCAGCTAGGAACTCACTTGACTTTTTGTACCTAACCCAACATTTAGGAAGTAAGAAAGGACAAGTGGAATTCCTCCATCCCACCAGGTGTCACGGAAGCAGATCCCTCCAGCTTAGGCCCCCACATGTGTGCTGAAGCCATGACACACACCTACTTCTCATGGACTCTGCTGCTGGTCACGCCCTGGCTCCCCTCCTTCAGCCTCTCCATCTCTGTCATTCGTTCCCATCAGTAAGTCTCACCAGTCTTTAAAAAATATTTTACCCCTTTACTCACCTCACATTTCTCTCCAGCTCCCTCTCAAACCTCTCCTCCTCTCTCCCTAAATTTCTTAAGAGTCAGAGATCCTCATTTTATCTATTTTCTTACTATCCACTCCCTCCTCAGCCCACTCCATGAGGCTCACTGAGACATCTCTCCTGGAGGGTATCAGTCATATCCACCCCGTCAAGCCCGTCTGGAGGCTCTGCCTTACCTGACCACTTTCTTGGCAGCATGTGGTCCTCCCTCCTTGGAAGGCTCTTACCCCGGTTGCCATGACACCAGAGCTCTCCAAAATGTTCTTCCTGCCTCCTTCACTTCTCCTTTTCAGTTTCTTTTGTTCTCCTCTTTCTCTGCCCATCTCTTAAGTGTACCATTATTTTATGGTTGCATTGCAGAATGCCAAGACAGTAATGCAGAAGTTGTCCTGATGCCATTGTCAGGTGAGTGACCAGAGGTGCTATACATTTTGAAGGAAGGAGAGATCACTCTGATGATCTTTTAGACAGGTAAGGGAAACCCCCAAAGAGGAAGAGAGATGGAAATTGGGCATGGATGTGGGGGTAGGGTATCAGAGGCAGAGAAAAGAAACGGCATTCCTGCTGGAGGAACTTCTCACTAAATGCACAGAGGGAAGAAAATAAGATTTCCTCCAATGACTATTAAGCATCTCTCTTCTAGGCATAGCATAAAATGGAAAAGAAAGATGTGAGTCCCTAGTTTAAATTTTAGTTAACATTCCCATGAAATGACTAAAGAGCTAAATAAGGTAGCATTTGGTAGAAGTATAGGTTGTAAAAAAAAGGAAGAGATCGGTATGTGCTTTCTGGAGGTGACAAGTCTTATGGGCTATACTGTTCTGTATGAATTAGGGAAGGCTAACTGCTCTAACAGATATGCCCCCAAATGTGTAACAGCTCAAACACAATAGATGTTTATTTCTTGTTTACCTTAGAGCATTGAGTGAGTGAATAAATCAAAGGGCTAGCTCTGCCCTTCGCAGGCTTCCACAATCACTTTGGGAGTTGTGGCTAATGGAACCATCCAAAAAGAGAAAAGATATTGGAGGATGATGGAGCATGGGAGATGTTAATGGGCTAGGATGCTGTCATCTCTTTGGCTATGATTTAGTCACATGGTCACAAGGAAGGCTGGGAAACATAGTCTAATTGAATGCTAGGAAGAAGACGGGAACCGTCTCCCTGCTTTCTTGGTTCTTTCCCCCTTTACTGAAGATTAGGATGCTCCATTTGGGTTAAACCTCAGTGTAAATTTGATCTTGTCTCCACTTCCTCATTCTTTCCCCATATTATGTATTTAAAAGAGCTACAAGGACTTATGTTGTGAAGAGACCCAGGTGCAGGTGGAGACCAAGATAGAGTGATGAAGCAGGAGAAAAAGAGTGATGTGCTGAGCGTCACTGCTAAAGAAGGAAGATTCTCTTCCAGCCCATCTGTTCCTGCCCATTAAAATGCCAAGTTGCCCTCCTCTTTAATGCACGTTGTGACATGGTGGGAGACACTGCCTGTTGTTTCCTGGGGTAATAGTTCATTCTCAACCCACAAGTGAACATTGTCAAGGTCATCCCTCCAGGTGACCTTAGAGATCTTGATGCTGCAGTGCAGAATGGGGTGAAAGTGTGGGTGATAAGTGAGTCACCAGGCAGACTTCAGATGTAATATGGGTTTATACTTTGAACTTTTTAGGGAGCTTTTATATCGATCCCTCCTTTATTACTCCTTTCTCAACTACAAGTTCAGGGCAAGTATCATTACTCCCGTTTTACAGAGTGGGTAACTCACACTCAAAGAAGGTAAGGGACTCAAGTACATGCAGGATTAGAGCCTAGAGTAGAACCTGATTTCCTATATGGGGCTTCCTCCCCATGACCAACTTTACCCACCTTATCTGTGAGTGATCAAGGCACCAAGGGGTGGTATCTTATAATTTCCCTGGAAACTGAGCCTCCAAGGAGGCCTCATTGCCCTGCCAGGCAAAGGCTGCTGCTCCAGCTTGGGGGCTACATGGAGACACTGGCTCAGACTTGCAGGCCACCGCAGCCCCTCTCGGCTACCGAGCTGGCCTGGGAAGTGTGGGGTGTGAAAGGAGAAGTGCTTGCCGGGGTGCTCCCCATCAGGGTTTGGTAGGCACGGTGCTGCATGGAGGGCAACCAAAGGTATTCAGAACCTTCCCTTACATACAGGAAATCTAAGGTTACCTCTCACACTGCTCTAAGTCCATAGGGGATTAGCTGGGAGCTCTGTGTCAACAGCATCCTCACCCTTGCATCCAGGTGGACAGAAACATAGCTGGGCACAGGCAGAGAGCAAAAGAACCTCTAGAGGTTCTTACTCAAGCAATGAAATAGTCCACTGGAAGTGCTAAATGTCACTTCAGTTCACTAGTTAGAACCACAAGGGGCTGGGAAGTTCTCCTATTCATAGGGTTAAGGAGCCTAGAATACTTGGTGAATGGTAGTGAAGAATGCCATACACCCTTTCCCCAAATATCTGGTATAGAAACATAACTCAAGGCAGTCATAGTAAGTGACAGATAAATGGCACAGTCTGAAAGTGCTTTGGAAATTAGAGGTAGCAAGGATCCCAGGCAGAGAGGGACTGTTTGATCCCCGATGACCCTGTGCCACTGCACACAAAAAGAAAACTTAGGATGATGTGGAGAAGCCTGCCTAGTATCATAACCAGCAGCCACCTAAGTCCCTGTTTCCCTTTCCCCAGCACAACTACTCTGACAAGAGCTGCAGGTCCTTCTAGCAACTTCAGAACAAAGTCAGCCCTAAGGGTGCATTTGGACACAACAGAACTAAGACTAGTTGTTATACTCTGCAGGATTTGGGAGATTGCCTGGTCTGTATTCTTTAATATGATTAAATTCCTTTATTAAATGAGGAACGTGAGACCTATAGAAGTTAATTGACTTGCCACGAAAGGAAAAAGAATAAATGAAAGCACAAATTAGAGGTCTAAAACCGATTCTTACATTTCTTCGTTTAAGTCTACTGTCTTTCTACACTCTCCTGCTGGAACCAATGCAGTGCCATTTAATGATAATAACTCCAAGTATAATTTAAGTCCTTGGAAACAAAATTTCTATAAATCCAAGATCCAGGTTTATTTTGATTTATTGGTTCCAAAGTTAGCTGGCCTTGGCACAGTACAATATTATTGACTTAGAATAATTCTCAGGGACTCTGACCAGAGTTCCTCCATAAGTTGTTTTGGTGACACATGTCTTTAAAACAAAAGAACTTTATTGTTGTTCAACTTCTCTCTATTTGCATCTTCTCTCCTTACACCAATTAGATGTATTTTCAGCATATGGTTTTATGATACCTGTACCAAGGATAACAGCTGTTTCTACAGGTTCCCTGTGGATATTTTATTAGCCCAACGACTGATCTGACTGTGCAGAGTAGGTTATATATCTCTAAAACATTCTGGATATTTGGTTAATCTGTTTCTACTTCTAATTTACCTTTCAGGATCAAAGAGTTGGGGTTCCACAGCAAGGAATATTGCCTTTCATTAGGGATGACAATCACTTAGGTATAACAAATGTACAGCTAGAACTGGTTAAACTCTCAGGCTCAGTTGCAACCAATAATGTGAGCAGGGAGGCAAATCCTTCTCTCCCTTAAGGCCCAGATCCTCCACGGCCCCAACCTTATTTCCCTTGCTGAAGCTATGTATCTCCTCTCTTAACTCTCCTCCAGCTTTGTTCGCATTTCCCCTATTGCCCCTACCTCTGCCTGCATTGCCATCTACTTACTGGCACCTGTCTTAATTATGCCACTTCTCTGAAAGGTCTTTCAGTTTGGAGACACAGTATGACTCAACTCAATACTTACTCTCCAGTATTTTGAACATAGTAGGTACAATTTGGTGTTCGACAAATACTTGTCACGAGAATGGCACTTTGAGGTAAGAAGAGTGTCACAAACCTTGTTAGTCTCTCCCTTCTTTGCCCAGATGAGCGCCTAGGCGATGGTTGGCTCGCTGCACTCCACTGCAACCGGGGACTGTGGTGATGGAGTCACCGGGCGGCTGGGCGGCTGGGCGGCTGCACCTCCCAGCCCGGGGACCCCGCGCCCGGCTCCACGAGCTGACAGCGCCCTCTGGCGGACGTGCGCGCGCCCAGCCGAGTTACTCCCGCGGCGCCCCCTGCCTCCTTTTCCATCGCCTCCTGCGGGCCCTGGCTGGGAAAGCTGGGAGCGTTCGGATTACCTAACCAGCTTGGGGGTAAATCAAGAACCGACCACATGGCAAGGGACCATTGGCTTTATCCATATGCCCGTGAACAGGGACAAATGCAGTCAGGAGCACTTGCCATTATGGAAAAAATATGCTGTCTTAAAAACAATGTTTTAAACAACCAGGCTTCTCAAAGTGAGGAATTCTGTTTCTGTGACTGCATTAACCAAGAGGCCATCCATTTACCAGTTAAATCCACTCTGGTTGAGGAAAAACAGAGACGGAGTCCAGGTTTTGAGGAAACTAGAACTCGAAGGTAAAGGAATGTTAAGGGCCTTCAGGTGGACCACAGGGACCCACCCTACCTTTTTCTTGATTCAAGTCTGCAGGTCAGTTCCTGGGGCTGAGGTGAAAGTTGTGAGAAATGGCCAAGGAACCCCATTGGAGAAGCCACCCCCAGAATGGAAAGTATTGGGAGAAGGAGAGGTTGGGGCCACCTCAGAGGCTGCTCCTTTCATTACAGTAGATAACTTGGTTTCCTTTTCTGAAAAAACATGGAAGCCATCAGCTAGGAACTCACTTGACTTTTTGTACCTAACCCAACATTTAGGAAGTAAGAAAGGACAAGTGGAATTCCTCCATCCCACCAGGTGTCACGGAAGCAGATCCCTCCAGCTTAGGCCCCCACATGTGTGCTGAAGCCATGACACACACCTACTTCTCATGGACTCTGCTGCTGGTCACGCCCTGGCTCCCCTCCTTCAGCCTCTCCATCTCTGTCATTCGTTCCCATCAGTAAGTCTCACCAGTCTTTAAAAAATATTTTACCCCTTTACTCACCTCACATTTCTCTCCAGCTCCCTCTCAAACCTCTCCTCCTCTCTCCCTAAATTTCTTAAGAGTCAGAGATCCTCATTTTATCTATTTTCTTACTATCCACTCCCTCCTCAGCCCACTCCATGAGGCTCACTGAGACATCTCTCCTGGAGGGTATCAGTCATATCCACCCCGTCAAGCCCGTCTGGAGGCTCTGCCTTACCTGACCACTTTCTTGGCAGCATGTGGTCCTCCCTCCTTGGAAGGCTCTTACCCCGGTTGCCATGACACCAGAGCTCTCCAAAATGTTCTTCCTGCCTCCTTCACTTCTCCTTTTCAGTTTCTTTTGTTCTCCTCTTTCTCTGCCCATCTCTTAAGTGTACCATTATTTTATGGTTGCATTGCAGAATGCCAAGACAGTAATGCAGAAGTTGTCCTGATGCCATTGTCAGGTGAGTGACCAGAGGTGCTATACATTTTGAAGGAAGGAGAGATCACTCTGATGATCTTTTAGACAGGTAAGGGAAACCCCCAAAGAGGAAGAGAGATGGAAATTGGGCATGGATGTGGGGGTAGGGTATCAGAGGCAGAGAAAAGAAACGGCATTCCTGCTGGAGGAACTTCTCACTAAATGCACAGAGGGAAGAAAATAAGATTTCCTCCAATGACTATTAAGCATCTCTCTTCTAGGCATAGCATAAAATGGAAAAGAAAGATGTGAGTCCCTAGTTTAAATTTTAGTTAACATTCCCATGAAATGACTAAAGAGCTAAATAAGGTAGCATTTGGTAGAAGTATAGGTTGTAAAAAAAAGGAAGAGATCGGTATGTGCTTTCTGGAGGTGACAAGTCTTATGGGCTATACTGTTCTGTATGAATTAGGGAAGGCTAACTGCTCTAACAGATATGCCCCCAAATGTGTAACAGCTCAAACACAATAGATGTTTATTTCTTGTTTACCTTAGAGCATTGAGTGAGTGAATAAATCAAAGGGCTAGCTCTGCCCTTCGCAGGCTTCCACAATCACTTTGGGAGTTGTGGCTAATGGAACCATCCAAAAAGAGAAAAGATATTGGAGGATGATGGAGCATGGGAGATGTTAATGGGCTAGGATGCTGTCATCTCTTTGGCTATGATTTAGTCACATGGTCACAAGGAAGGCTGGGAAACATAGTCTAATTGAATGCTAGGAAGAAGACGGGAACCGTCTCCCTGCTTTCTTGGTTCTTTCCCCCTTTACTGAAGATTAGGATGCTCCATTTGGGTTAAACCTCAGTGTAAATTTGATCTTGTCTCCACTTCCTCATTCTTTCCCCATATTATGTATTTAAAAGAGCTACAAGGACTTATGTTGTGAAGAGACCCAGGTGCAGGTGGAGACCAAGATAGAGTGATGAAGCAGGAGAAAAAGAGTGATGTGCTGAGCGTCACTGCTAAAGAAGGAAGATTCTCTTCCAGCCCATCTGTTCCTGCCCATTAAAATGCCAAGTTGCCCTCCTCTTTAATGCACGTTGTGACATGGTGGGAGACACTGCCTGTTGTTTCCTGGGGTAATAGTTCATTCTCAACCCACAAGTGAACATTGTCAAGGTCATCCCTCCAGGTGACCTTAGAGATCTTGATGCTGCAGTGCAGAATGGGGTGAAAGTGTGGGTGATAAGTGAGTCACCAGGCAGACTTCAGATGTAATATGGGTTTATACTTTGAACTTTTTAGGGAGCTTTTATATCGATCCCTCCTTTATTACTCCTTTCTCAACTACAAGTTCAGGGCAAGTATCATTACTCCCGTTTTACAGAGTGGGTAACTCACACTCAAAGAAGGTAAGGGACTCAAGTACATGCAGGATTAGAGCCTAGAGTAGAACCTGATTTCCTATATGGGGCTTCCTCCCCATGACCAACTTTACCCACCTTATCTGTGAGTGATCAAGGCACCAAGGGGTGGTATCTTATAATTTCCCTGGAAACTGAGCCTCCAAGGAGGCCTCATTGCCCTGCCAGGCAAAGGCTGCTGCTCCAGCTTGGGGGCTACATGGAGACACTGGCTCAGACTTGCAGGCCACTGCAGCCCCTCTCGGCTACCGAGCTGGCCTGGGAAGTGTGGGGTGTGAAAGGAGAAGTGCTTGCCGGGGTGCTCCCCATCAGGGTTTGGTAGGCACGGTGCTGCATGGAGGGCAACCAAAGGTATTCAGAACCTTCCCTTACATACAGGAAATCAGAGCTATTAGGGGGACTTTTCCTGGGGTCACTGCCTTCACCCACTCTGGGTTAGGGTAGATGTCTTCTCAAGTTCTTATCACACTGAAGGACTTGCTTTATTAAAAGCCAGTCTTTCTCCACTTCTCTCTCCTCTTTTCTCCTGTCTTTTCTTTCTCTAAACCTGTTGCACCTCAGGTTAACTTCTGACAAAGTTTTCTGCATCATTTTATTCTTGCAAATGTAAGTAAGTATTCTTGCAAATGTAAGTATAAGCTAACCAGGAGAGCCAGGCCAGGCACAGCTGTTGCAGGCCTGTATTCTTAGTGTGAAGGAACCAAGCATGGAAGTTGCCTTGTGGGACCTGAGATTTCCTAGGGAGCTTGCAGAAAAGGTGAAGCCCTGCCTGGGACAAGATGTGGTAACCTAGGGCTGTACACTTTGGGAGGGGCCCTGGTACCTTAGAATGTAGTGAAGAAAGAGGAAAGGATGCTCCCCTCTTCACTCCCTGAAAATCATAGCAGCTCTTTTCTCTCACCTGGGTCCTGCATCCTGTTATTTCCTCTGAAAGGACCCCTGCTCCACCCTGTGGGATGCAGCTTACACAGCATTTCTTCCAAAAGATTCCCTGCCACCTTGCCCCTGATCAGCCCTGAGTACACGTTATTGTCAGTGGTGGTCTATGTGCTGTTTCCCCCAAGGCATTATTACAGCAAAGCTAATGTAGCTTGCACTTTAGGACACCTCCCTTGCTCCTTCCAAAGCTCTGTTGCTAATTTTGTATTTCTAATTTGTATTCTTTTTCCTAAAGAGGGCTTTTCAAGTTGTTTAAGCTTCAGGCCACATGAAACTGAGGTCTACCTGTGACCTTTCCCAAAACTCTGCAAACTCCCTGACTCGGACTGAGTGACAGATTCCCTGGGCTATTCCTAGGTCTAGAGCACAGGCTAGGCTCTCAATAAACATTTCTGAAGTGAAAGGAAGAAAGGCTCCTTGGCTAGTGTTTAGCAGACCAGTGGTTCTCAGTAAGAATGCTCAGCATTGTCACTTGAACAATCTGGAAGGGCTGGCATGAAATGCCTGTCACTTCAGTGTAATGCAGTGTGGGATACAATCCATCTTGGAAGCTCAGGGATTTCATTCTAGGATCTTGGGCAAATTAACTGCCTATCAGGAAGCCCTGGTTTATTCAAACATAATAATAGGTTTGTAACAACTGCCTTATAGAATAACAATGGTTATTATATTACAGGTAAGTCAGTACCTGGCATTGAGTAGTTCTCAGGAAATTCCTTTATATACTCACTCCCTAAGGAATATTTCATTTTTAATCCTTTTTATCTCTAGCACTATAGCTTCCCAAGGCTACCCTTGTAGACTTTTAACCAGGTGGCTCCTGGATAATGGGGCTTTGGTGTAAAGGGTCCAGACAAAGGAATTTGTCCTGGGTCCAGCACTCCACGAAAAATGGCCCTGAGACCAGGTCTGGGGTACTCTCCTATATATGGCTCCTTCCTTCAATAAGAGAGAGGACTGTAGGAAAAATCCAAGAAACTTGAATAAAAATATAAATAATAAGGAAACAAATCATGTGGCCAACCAGCTTCCCTTTGCAGCAGTAGTTGGGCTTTCCTGCCTTTTATTCCAACTAGAACCCTAATTTATGTATAACCCCCACAGTGGCTATAAAACACTAATTATTTATTGTTGCCTGACAGGGAAGGAACTGACACTGAAATGGCTCTGAGCCACATGCCTCAGTTGGCAAGAGGCAGACCCAGAACTGCAGGCCAAGTCCATGCTCTTGCCACTCTGGGCATGGCCTCCTGTCCCCCTGTTCCCCTTCAGCGCAGCACTGACACACACTGCTCAGTTAGTTCAAGTTCCCACTCTGACTCCCTCACTCATGGGAACGAGTGCATGTGCCAATGCAAGGACTGACCTCACCAACGCAACATGTGTCGTTTTTTTCTAACTACAATTGAGAACTGGTAAATGTTTCTCACGTTTTCCTGTGGTGACATCCACACATTCTGTGTTTGCATATGCTAGAGCTTGAAAATTCAACAGCCGAGTGGGCAGGGCATGCAGGGTGCAGGGTGGAATGGGAGGGGCATTTTACAATTTATTACAATACAAGTTCCACTGTTCATTTCTTCATATAATAATAGTAATAGTAACAATAACAGTAACAATAATAATAGCTAATAACTTTATTGGTTGAGTACTATGTGCCCGGCATTAACTTTTGACAATTCATTATCACCAAAACAACCCAGGGAAATAAATATTGCCATGTCTCTCAACTAACACATATTTTTAAAAATCACATTTCAACATCTTATAATTCCTGATAAGAAAGTATTATGTCATACTATAAATAATTGTTGGTCATATTTTTTTTTAACCTCTTAGAAGTACATAGAATTAGGGTGCGTTACAGATGAAGCAACTGAGGTAGGGAAAAGCTAAGCAATGTGCCCAGGGTCTCACCACTTGAAGGTAGCACAGCCTGGACTCAGACACAAGTGGAGTAGGTCCACAGCCTATCTGTTCATTTATTTGTTTTGCAATCTTGGGCATCCTGCAAATGCCCCCCCCCCACCCAGTAGCCATAGGTCTGTCCATCAGGAGGCAGGCTTATGCTGACTGAACACTCTGTAAACTAAGATATGTGGTTTTTTTCATTCATATTGATTTTATTTTAACTTGCACATTGTAACTATGATTCTATTCTGTCTATCACAAAAAACTCCGAATTTAGAAACTACCTGAAGAAAAATATGCCAAATTAAATCTGGCTGGGTGGGCTTGGTGTGAGAGACAAGCATCTGCAATATCTCCCAAGAGAAAAATGCACACGTGTGGTTGCTTCGTGCTTCATTTGGCCTTAAGTTACTTTCACTTTCTGGCCTCAATTTCTTCAGATGTAAAATAAGGGGCCTGCTCCAATTCTAGCCATTAACATTTAACAACTGTTAATCACTAAGACAACCCAGTGAAATAAGTATTTTTGTCTTTATGGAGCATCCTTAACATTTTAAACATTTGAGCACACATCTTCAGTATCCTCTTATTTGTGTGTGTGTGTGTACACACCTGTGGGTTTTAACACATGTATAGATTTGTACAACCACTACCCCAATTGGAATACACCCCCAAAATTCCTTCAGTCTTGCCATTCATACTGAAACTGCTTCCCATGCCTAAACTCTGGTAACGCTGACCAGATCTTCATCCCCATAATGTGGCCTTTCCCAGCATGTCATATAAATGGAACCGCACAAATGGAATCATACAATATGTAAGCTTTTGAGACTGGTTTCTTTCACTTAGGCAAATGTCTTGAGCTTCATCCATGTTGCTGAGTGTATCATTAATTTCTTTCTTTGTTATTGCTGAGTACTGATCCATTGAAGAGATGTACTATATTTTACTTAGCCATTTGTTCATTGAAGGGCAGTTAGGGTGTTACCAGTTTTTTGGTGATTATGAATAAAGCTTCTATAAACATTCATGTAGGTTTTTGTGTGAGCATGTTCTCATCATTTCTTAAGGTAAAATATCTTGGAGTGGGATTGCTGGATAATATAGCAAATACGTACTTTATTTTATAAGAAACTGCCAAACTGGTTTCAGAATGCCTACCATTTTGCATGTGTATGAGGGTTCAAGTTGTTCCATCGCCACTAGCACTTGGTATTTTCCTGGGTTTTTGTCACCACTTTTCTTTTAGTCATTCTAGTAGGTGTATAGTGGCATTTCGTTGAGATTTTAACTTGCATTTTCATGATGACTAATGATGTTGAGCATCTTTTCATGTGTTTATCAGCCATCCCAACACATCTTCTTTGTTGAAGTGTGTATTCAAATCTTTTTCGTATTTTTAAAACTGGGTTGTTCTCTTACTGCTGAGGTTTGAAAGTTATTTACATATTCCAGGTACAAGTCCTTTATTACATATGTGATTTCTCAGTACTTCCATCCAGTTTAAAGCTTACCTTTCAATTCTCTTGAATATCTTTTGCAGAAAAAGTTTTAATTTTGGTGAAATCTAACTTATTTTTTTTCTTTTATGGATCAGTTTTTTATGTCATTTCTAAGGACTCTGTCTAACTCAAGGTCACAATCTTTTTCTCCTGTGATTTTTGAATTAAAAAATGTATATTTTTTGGGTTTGCATATATATCTATGATCCGAGGTTGATTTTTTTTATAAATGATATTCTGAGGTATAGTTTGAGTCATTTTTTTCCATATGGATATCCAGTTGTTTCATTTGTTAAAGGACTATCCATTTTCCATTTACTTGCCTACAAACCTTTGTCAAAAATCAATTGATA